ACAAAAGGAATTGACATTTTTTATAAAAATTAATGAAATATGTGGATAAAAAGTTGCGAGTCCCATAAAATATTTGGTTAATATTAGTTGTTGACTATAATTTAGATTAAAATCTAATTTTTAATTTTTATCAAACATGGGCTAACTCTTTAAACATATAAATGCTATCTAAGTCGAACTAATAATATCATAACTCAAAACTCGAAATAGAAGTATAATATTGTTTGTATAGTACATATCTTTAAAAAAAATATCTTGGGAACCTTGTTTTCTAGAAAATATAAGTGTCTTGACCAATGTAGTCAATTCCATATCGGACCAACAGGTTCAACCGGATGGAAATCGGACCGAAATTTAATCTTATCACAATATGAAAATCGGCACAAAATTCGAAATTTCATCCGATTCATCCAAAAATCGATGAATTGGTCATGGTTTCTTTGGGTTTCATAGTTAATATTTTTGTTTAAAAGAATTATAGTATGAAGAAGAGAATTCTTTACTTCCATTTTTCGTTGCCTAATAACTGTCAGTATTGAAATATGAAGCACAAATTATGAGCAACAACCTGATGATCAGCAAAGGAAAAACCATCAGCTGAGGCACGACAATGGAGGGTAGAAACATCCACTGTAGAGGAGTCATGTTGGAGCTCACATTTTCCCTTTCTGTTGTATAGTTTTTCTCTTTCCACCAATTAGCTATTTTGTGTAATGATTCTAGATTGTTCTTATTACTTGTATATATAGCTTTGAGGACGGATGAATGTAAGCAACATAATTTCTTCATCTTCAATACAAAATTCAGCTGGCTTAAGTCCATCTTTCTTCTTCCATTAATATAGAAAGATTCATATCCATCTTTCTTCTTCACTTTCTTATATGGTATTAGAGCCATAGCTATGGCTGACAATCAAAATGCTACTATGGAAACAACAAACTAGAATGTAAACACTGAGCAAAGTGCTAACATCAATCTCGATAATACCAGCTATTATGTTTGGGCAAGATCCATAAGGAGAGCACTTCGAACTAAAAACAAATTGGGCTTCATTGATGGAAGCCTCAGTGAGCTTGCAGATCCAAGTAATTTTCCGTTGGAGCATTGGCTACATTGCAGTGATATAGTAATCTCTTGGCTACAAAACACTATGTCAGTTGATATCAAGTCATACACGCTCTATGCAGACACTACACAAGAACTTTGGCTTGACTTGGAACTTCAGTTGGGACAGCAAAATGCCCCATGAATCTATGAGGTAAAGTAGTCTATCGCTACCCTGATGCAGAACGATGTTGTTGTAAGTGTGTACTTTTCAAAGTACAAAACACTCCTTGATGAATTGATGAACTATGAGTCCATTCCTAATTTCACTTGCAGGGGTTTCAAACCTATCATTGAGAACTAACAGAGAGACCGGGTGATGAGATTTTTGATGGGGCTGAATGATTAAGGCCCAAATCCTTATGATCATGCCCTTTCCCACTTTGAATGAAGTATATTCCATAATTCAACAAAAGGAGAAAAGGAGACAAATCTCAATGGACACTTCCATACCAGAATCTATGGCACTTGAAAGCTCTTATAATAGAACAAGGTAAGCTGGGATGGGACAGAGAAAATACCACTGCACTTTCTACAAGATGACGGACGTTCGCCAGAGAGGTGCACCAAAGCCAACCCCAACAAATCAGTTTGCATCCATTGTCACATGATAGGACATTCAGTAGACAAGTGCTATAAGGTTCATGGATACCCTCCTGGACATAGGCTACATGGAAAAGGAAAAGCCTATGCCGTCTAGTATCTTTGCAGGAACAAGGAGATGTTGATAACAACAAACATGTGACATTTACTCAGGAACATCATGCACAAATTCTGGCTCTGATGCAGTCACAAAACAGTAAATGTCTCACAGCATCTACTGATACACAAACTTCCAAAATTTCTGGTATTTCATCTTGTTTATCTGCCTATGGTGTCAAATCTGGTAAGAGCCTTAACACACCATGGATAATTGATACAGGGGCAATAGATCATATGATTTGCTGCTCCTCATTTTATTGTAATCCTCCAACAAAAGTGTCTTGCTCAGTTTTCCTTCCAAATGGTGATATAGCTAATGTCACAAACATATGAACTGTAAAAATCAAAGAGGAGTTGGTCTTGTAAAATGTTCTCTATGTTCCATCCTTTGCATTTAATCTAATATCAGAAAGTTAACAGAAACTGCCAATTGATGTCGACTATTTTTTCCTGAAAAATGTTTTGTGCATGACCGTTTGACTTTGAAAATGACTGGAATGGGTGAAATGCGGCAGGGATTATATCACTTTCTGCGACCCCAAGCTTCTCTTATAGCCTTAATAGAAACCTCCACTTCAAACAGAACTCCTATGTCAGCTGCCATATCTAGCAACAATAAGGACTTTGATCTCTGGCATTATAGGCTGGGGCACCCTTCCTACTCTAGATTAAATATGTTGAATGTCAAATCTGATCCTAAGCATATTAAGGAACCTTGTTCTATCTATCCTATGGCAAAAATGCATAGATTACCATTCTCTATTAGCCATCATAAATCTAAGAAAATTTTTGATCTCGTACATTGTGATCTCTAGGGTCCTAGTACTGAAATTAGTTATGATAGATCCAAGTTTTTTCTTTCCATAGTTGATGATTTTAGCAGGTGCACATGAGTCTACATGTTAAAAGCCAAATCAGATGCCACTGCAGCTTTACAAGGATTTTGTGCTCTAATTAACACTCAATTTCAGTCATAAGTAAATGTTATTAGGACAGACAATAAGGGGAGTTTGAAATGAAAGAATACTATCATAAAATGGGAATCATTCACCAGAAAACGTGTGTGGAAACACCACAGCAAAATGCCATAGTAGAGAGAAAATATCAGCACTTTTTAAATGTTGCTAGAGCCTTGAAAATTCAAAGCTCTATCCCCATGAGGTACTGGAACAATTGTGTCCTTACAGTAGTGTATTTGATTAATAGAACACCTTCACCTTTGCTTAAAAACAAAACCCCTTTTGAGATCTTATTCAAGCACAAGCTAGACTACTCGCATCTTAGGATTTTTGGTTGTCTTGCTTTTGCTTCGACTTTGGCTAACCACATAACTAAATTTGAACCAAGAGC